GGTATTCAGAATCTTCTAAACGCATTTGCTAGTAGGGAATACAACGTCTAGGTGCTAAGTGGGTGTTGTAATAGTATACTTTTGTATAAGATGAAAATAAGAAATCAAGAAGGGATTGAAACGAAATGGAGCATACAAAGATATAGGAACTTATGGGATAAATTTCATGACTCCGACAGCGAGAAGCTAGTAAGATCTACGGTAGCTATTGCGACAAATTGGTTGATCCAGTCCCAGTCATGGTCTTCTGCTAGGCTCGTGATAAAGAAATTCCTCCCTTTGCCCATGTGTCACGATACCCCTAGTGGCAACTCGAGGGGAACATAAAAACAAGAAATGGGTTATCAGAAGGTTTGCTTGGTCTCGATAGCCAGGGCCCAAAGACACGCGACAACTTCCCAAACCCTCGACCCTAGTTGAACCAAACATAACTCAAAAGGTTTGGCAAAGCTAAATGATCACTTTGTCAATTACAGGGTCGCCAAAGCCCATGGAGAATGGATAAGTGTAGATGAACGAATAACCAGTTTTTGGGGAATTAATACTCTCAAAATCTTTAGGAGCAATTGCTTGGAATTTATTGTTCGTCCACATATAGTCAATCCGAACAATAAGAATAACATTGTTTCATTAAGGAGGTGTAATCATTAACCACTGTCTCTTGTCCCGATGTGCTTGCATGGTCAAATTTTGAAATCATCCCAAAAATAATAAGTTTTGGGAGTGATGTTATCAACATCAAGTCCGGGAAAGACATCGTTACTCCTTTTTCCTTTCTTCTTTAGGCCACTCCTTGGACATAAGATTTTGACGAAACTAGGAGATGAAGCATGATCGATCAAGTTTGCAAGAGAAAAGGCGTATATATATATACATAATAGAAAGGGTTGAAGAAATTGTGAAAGGTTGGAATGAACATGAAGATCCCAATATATTGGTGCATGGAAAGAGGTCATTACTGTCGTGGCCCATGGGCAACGCGCCATCATCGTACCAATAACCAGAATACACATGGTAGGTGCATTTAAAGTAGTGGGACTGACATCATCTTTTCTCATAACTCAGAGTATCCTCGCGTCAGACTTGTTGTCGAAATCTACGAAGATTATTCCCCTTCCCGTCATGTTTGGTATCACAATGGAAAAGCAGAGTGATTATTTATATTGGGTAAAAATAGCTAAAGCATGTGACATTATGGATAGAATGCATGACGTCAACAAGGAAGGCCCAGAGAAGCAAGGTGAGATCGTAAACATTTGGTCTCGAAGTGTTCCCGAACATATAAGAATGACTATCATCGGGGACAAATCAAAAGTGCATGACTTGATGAGTAGAGAAGGACTCGTGTCCCGATGATGTAGCCAAAAGGACAAGGACAGATACACCAAATATTATCGTACAAATAGTTTGAGCACGACAGAGGAATATTGGCTGGCACCACTAACGACATCTCCACATGGTCAACATCCATTGGTCGTGGTACTTTAGGGCTTGAGTGGAGGACACTTATTGGTTAATGCTTTACCTCTATAGCCTATAAATAGTATCTTCCCAAAACTTGTATCACTACAAAAAACCCTTGAATTGCTAACAATATTATCCGTTGGTAAATTGATTAAATTAGTTGGTAAATGATTTTTCCAACCAAATACCAACTAATATTAATCCGTTGCTAAAAAGTTTGTCGGTAAATTTTACCAACCCATTTCAGTTAGTTGGTAATATTACTGACTAAAAATCAGTTGGAAAACACATAAAAAAATTGTTGGTAATTGTTGAGACATGGCCTTAGAAATTTCGTTGGTAAATTCATCAACCAATTTTTTGTTGGCATATTGTTGGTAAGTTTACTAACGAAGAGAAAAAACAGTTAGTAAATTTGGTTCTTCATTATTCAATTTGGTTAGTGATATGTTGGAAAATATAGTAAAAAATATAAAATGTTGTTAGTATTTCGTTAGCACTTTTCTAACAAATAACAACTTGGTTGGTAAGTTCGATAGTACATTTGCCAAAATACATTGGTAATCAGTTAGCAATTTCAATCAAGAAAAAAAATGTGTTGGTATTTCATTGGTAAATTACCAACAGATTTAAATCCGTTAGTAAGTATGACTATCAACTTTTGTAACTTGCGTTATTAATTGGTTAGTATTTTGGAAACACAAAAATGCTCATTAGTAATTCGTTAGGAAGTTTACTAACGGATTGTTATTTTGTTGGTAATATATATCATTTATGTTCGATATTCGGTCAGTGATTGATTGGTAATATATATTTCAATATTACTGACTGATGATAATTCGATAGTAAAATTTCACTTTATATATTTACATCAATTGATATCTTTTACGAATCTTAAAGAGCCCAGAAACATAATAAAAACGGTAATTCTTTGACAAGTTATAACTTTGAAATTAGCAATGCAAATCCTAACAAAAAGAGTTCAAAATAAATCCAAATATGGAAACAAACAAAGAAAAGTCTGCCTAAGATCGATAGTTTGGAAATTTTAAATGACCCATATTGTTATGTGATGATGAGTCATGTCTAAGCTAATTTGGTGTATCAAAGGGTGGTGTACCACGGGGTGGTTTAGGTAGGCCAACTATGAGGATAGGCAAACGTTCTTGGAGAATCTTATCAACTTGCTCTTGCATTTCTAGCTGCATTTTGTGTTTCATTTCTTCACACAATTCTTCTCTCATCTCTTCTCTCATCTCATCCTTCATTTCTTGAACGTACTCCTTCACTCGAGTATCAAAATCACAATCTTGAGATTGAGTAGTTGAAGCAGACGACGAACCAACATTCTCATAGAAAGCTGCTTGAGAACCAAGACCATATATACATGCCTTCTTAACCCCACCCACTTCATCCATGTAAGCCTTCAAAAATCAATTGTCGGAGACTCGCCAGATTCATCTACAATCTGAGATGCAGACGTGATCTTAGACATTACAGCATCCTGGAAAAACAAAACATAACGTTAAGAAAAAATTACTAGTAATTATAAAGATACACAATTGATATTAGTTGACAGTCTTTGTCCCCGACAGTACCTCATCCGCCACACTTACCATTTCAACAGCTGCAATTAGTATTTTTTTTGACACAAGTACATGTAGGTCGATTTCATTATATAAAAATAACCTTCGTGGACCTATTGTTTCTGTCCAAATTACAAATTATCTCCTCCCAATTGTGTCTCAAGTTGATCATTTGAAACTTGCATTTTTCTACTTCATTTAGATTAAAAAGAAATGTTGGACAAAAAAGAGGTTGAACAGAGTCAAAGAACTGGAAATCTTCCCTAATTGCTTATGTTATTGGGGATATACCTGGGTACAACTATATGAATAGGTTTATAACTCAAAATTGGTCATAGGTGACTAAGCTGCCGATATAACTTCATGATGAAGACTACTATATAGTGAGGTTCCAAAACATGGTGGATATGCAGGAAATTATGTGTACATGACCATATTCTATAAATAATATGCCAATAATCCTAAAATATTGGTCCCCAACGTTTGATATCAGGCAAGGAAGATCATCAAAGCATCATTCGGTCAAGCAAGCAAGATCGCCAAAACATCATTCAGACAAACAAGCAAGATAATCAAAGCACCATTCAAATTTTAGAATAAATGGGTAAACCATTCTCAACTCATGCCTATAAGTAATGCTAGTTGGAGGATCAGATAAGCTAAGGGAAAAATGAAAGCAATGTTAAAGAAATTGAAGCAGCTCAAATCTCCATTTCGTCGACATCTCGATATTGAGCACTTCAAAGGGACTACTGTACAGATCATCAAAGCACCATTCAAATTTTACATTAAATGGGTAAATCATTCTCAATTTATGCCTATAGTTAATGCTCGCTAGAGGGCCAGCGAAGCTAAGGGAAAAATGAAAGCAATGTTGGAGAAACTGAAGCAGCTAAAATCTCAATTTCGTTGACATCTCAATACCATACTTCATCCCATATCTTACTCACCAAATTTTCCAAGTAGTTATGATAGGAATAATTTTAGAGATCAAAGCAATCATAGAATTATGGATCCAGAATTTCCATCAGTAAACTAAAATTCATAGTAGGATAAGCTTACCAATGAATACTAAATAGGCCACATACGATTTTACACAGTTTCTGGGCAAGCACACAATTATAGAATGAGGAGCATCAATGTAACAACATCTAGAACATCTAATGATCGCTACATGGGGACCTACTGTTTATGTTCATACTTGAAATGGTAGGAATTGAATCATTTTTAAAAAGAAAATTATCAAATATGGAAGAAAGTGTGCATGCTATTTGTCTTTAATATATTTTTATGGTTCACAATAACTCTACATTTTTCTGTAATAACAAAGATCTCTCTATTACTTACAGAGATGCAAGGATATCAGTTTCAATTTGATATAATCACGTCACACCTCATTGTTAACCTTCAATATTATAACCATGTGCTTAATGTTTGGGACAAATATGATGAATACTATAGCAAATTCTCTACAAAATTCAGAAAGATAATCAACAATGTTTGATGTTACTTACATATGTGCTCTTAGACTTTAGATCCACAAACTCATTGTTTCCTTTGGTATGTCTCTTCTTCAAATGTTCATGCGGATGAGGTGGCCGTCCAAGTACAATCGCCTAAAATTGAAATCACATCTATCAAAGTTTACACAAGGAATAACTTTGAAGAAACTATAACTTGATTAAATGAAAAAGATTGTACCAGTTGTCTTGCATGCTCTCGGTGAGTCCAGGAGCCTCCAGTATGGCGTGAGGGACCAGATCCTTCACCACATTTCTCACTTCGTCGATTTTTTGAACATTGTGCAGATTTAGCCTTAAAATCCTCAGTATCATAGTGAGGCTTCCAGCTCTCCCAAATAGATTTTGGGATAATTTTTCGCTTCTCCTCGGAGGATCTTGCTTCAGATAACATACCCTTGTACTGTATTGAACATTTTTTTAGAAAATGATCCTTTATGGAACTTTCAATTGCAGTATTCCAATGGAATCGTTTCTGTTTAAAAACTCAAAGAAAAATATCACATGATTTGATATAAGAAATCTAAATGAATAAAATCCATTAATAAAATGACGGTAGAATGAAATTTATGGGTAAAATGGGTACATGAATATTATAGAAGGAGACACAATCAATGAGTTTTCAAAGGCTCACAAAAAAGACATGAAAAGCTATAGTTAGACAAGTTATTCAAGATGTGTTCTAGAAGAGTAATAACAGTAGAAAATTGGATGCATTATTCGAAACTAAGAATTTGTATCCCTAAATATTTTCTCTTTTTCTAGATGTAGCAGATGAGGCAACCTATGTTTTTCTTTTAGCTAGTTGTATTGGTTTTGTTTCTATAAGCTATGTTTTTCTTTTGTTCTTCTTTAAACAGTAAGATTTTATTTTGGTAAGAAAATCAATAGTAATCAAAAGCAAGATAGTATAGTTTTACCTTAAACTCCTCCCAGTAGAAGTCCTTAATCTCTGGTGTAACTGACTTCCAATCATGTCCTTGAGGATCCAATTTTTCCTTAAAGATTTTTGTGATCTCCCGGGATACATTGTTACTCGGCTCCAAACTTGTATAAATATAACAAGTAATTATTTTAATACTCAATATTATTTATATACATCAAGCAATAGATAGAATGTATTATCAGTGTCTTTAGAGACAATACAAGAGCTTGAAGAGGCAGAGGAAGTAAGGAAGAAATGTATGAAACTTATGGAAGTATAATCAAAGAGACAAGGACTATATATAAATTATAAAATCCTACCATTAGCATATCTTGAAATGACTAGTTGGGAGGAGCCCATGCTCAGCTTGGGTTCAATACATTTGATTCATTTGGTTTGACATTTTACTATCTATTTTATAGAAAAAACAGTACAAGTATATAGATCTTACCATTTTCTAATCAAAACAACAACCCTACATCTATATAAATTGAGAGGTCCTAAAGCAAGGCAAGAGCTTAAAAGTTGATCACCAATAAAAGCAAAGTAAACAATAATTTTACCAGGCAATCTGAACATGTTGTGCAATAGCAAAAGTTCTGGGACCTGCACATGGGGAATTCTATCTCCACATTCTATAAATCAGATTCCTCACCACATTATGTTGCCACATTTACCTATGGCTTCTTATATATGAGAAATATAGACATTGGTGAACAAGCTATTTTCTTCAAAAATGAATTTTTTTATATTAATTTCAAAACACATCACTTCTGTAATTCATTCCCATCAATGCAATTTAAGAAAACCAACAAAACTTTGAAAGATCTATAGAAAAATAGTATGGAAAGAAAATCAATATGGCTTATTTTCTTGCTTGAAGCAAAACAATGTAAATGAAACGATGTTGTACACTTACCGACCCAAGACGATTTCAATTCGAATGCGAGTATCATCAGTTGTATTTGACGAAGTTATAGATACAATGTCATTTCTAGGTGTTTCTTGAATCTGGCATAACTGGTGTCAGCAGTTCAGGCAACAATGGTGCTTGATCAGGTGTGGAACGAGACATTAGAGGAGATGTCACTGGATCTGCTGATCTTTTTCCAGAATATCTGCTTCGTCCACCCCCCCTTGGTGCCATATCTGCAATTTCAAAGTTACATGTGGATGAAATAATAACATAATAATTCAATCACTACTAAAAAAACTGCATTTAGCGACGAATTATATTCTGTCACTAAATAACAACGGATTCGCAACGGAATTATCATTTTGTTGCTAGAAGAACAAATAATTTTTCGAGTTATGATATAGTGACGAATTTGCGACAAAATATTTATTTTGTCGCTAAATATTAGCGCGAAATTTTGGCACCCAAATTTTTCCTACGGATTTAGCTACAAATTAGCTTTGACAAATTTAATTAATATTTCGCGACGGAACTAGTGACGGAAAAAAGGTCGCTAGACTTTTAAATATATGTTTATAAAATTAAATTATTTAGTGACGGAAAAATCCACCGTTAAAATTTATTATAAATAAATATATTTATTTGATAGCGACGGATGTTATAATCCGTTGCTTAGTCCGTTGCAAAATTACTTTTATGTTATATTTTCTAAGGCACAATCTTGTTTCAACTCTTTAGAACCTCTCTTAATCTTGTCCGTCCGTTACCTTGATCAAACTCAAGATCTAATCGTGCCCGTTCATTTCATTCAAATCAGCGGTCCAAATTCAGCAACCCATACCTTCCAATTTTAAACTATCTAAAAAAACCCAACCCTAAAAGTCCTTCATTCTTTCTCTTCCTCTCTCCAAGAGGAGCGCCGCACCAGCAGCCTCCGCCGCTCCGAGACACCGAGCGTCTCGCCATCTCCTGCGCCACCTCTTTCTTCCTCTCTCCAGTCGCTGCCTCCCTTCTTCCTCTTCCCCTCACTCCTATTTCTTCTTCTCCTCCTCCACGGGCGAGGACCAATGGCAGAGACAACAGCAGCAACGAAGCAAGCAATCGCCACCAACTCCTCCGTCTCAGTCGAAACAGCAGTAGTGAGGCAGCGCAGCAGCAGTGACCGGCGCCTCCAGCCAGCGAAGCCCTCTTCGCCTCCTCTTTTCTTTCGATTTTCCGACAAGAACAGACATCAGGCTGAAGCAAAGCCAGCGCCCTATTCTTTTTTCCGGCGAGAACGAACAATGCACTCCGACAGAGATTTTGAAAACTTTGAGACAGATCTTAACGGATCTGTTAAGATCCGTCCAGGTAAGTTTTTTTAATTAATTTTATGACCACTTCAACTCTTCGCTCTTGTTTTTTAATTATCGTGAATTGATTAGTTTGAGAATTCGAGCATCTTAATATGTCGTTGTGTACTAATTTGTCTTGCAACGTGTTGATTCTTAGAAAGCATATCTAGGTTGAAATTTTCTGTTCAAAGTTCATAATTGTTGCTTCTATTGTGGTCTATTGTGAGTATTATTGATTTTGTATGCAGGTTATAATCTTAACCAATGGATTTTATATTTTCTTCGTTTATATAGTAAGATTTTATATTTTGAACTACCTTAACTTGATTTCTTCCTTGTAACTTTGATTTAGCCGATTAATTGAGAACTTTATTTATTTTCCTAAAATAGTTGTTTGTCTTTGCTTGACTATTGAAGCATATACCAAATTTGATTTATGTGCATATTTCACCATATTTTCCAGTTTGAGATCATTTGTTTTGAAAACTGAAAGTGTTCCAATTCCTTTTGCGGTTTGTTCTGATCACTGTTCATTTTAGAAGTATCATAATCCTGTCTACTTTTGCCCATATCATGAGGTTACTTGGACATTGGAAGTAGATGATTTTTGCCTCACAGTTCATATTTCCACTAAAGAGATTCACATGAAAAATCCAAAACATGTGCAAATGTTTTTCTTTCCCTTTATTACTTGCAGGCTCAAGATCACTTACTAGGCGTTGTGGTGAAGACATCTTCCTCTAACAACAATCAATATATAGTTGTAGTTTTGACTCTAGAATTGCCTTCAACTCTGGAAACTTCGTCAGATGCAAGAAACAGGAAAGATCAATTTGTAAAGCTCAAGATCACTACTTGCCGGCTCAAGATCACTTATTGCTTTGGATATTTGGGATCTAAAATATGTGATTTTGATTTTCTATATATTTTGAACCATCTATTAATATTATTTTATACATATGAATGTGGATTATATAAGGGGTATTTAGTAATTTTAATTTTATTTATTTCAGCAGTGTAATTTTAAAACAAAATAAATTAGATTTGCTAGAAAAAATTTTAGCAACAAATATAGCATCTATTGGGTTGTTGCTAGATAAAGGAATGATAGCGACAGACTAGCAACGAACTTTTTAGCGCCAAATGTGCTGGCTTAAACAACGGAATATGTTGCGACGGATTAGTGATGAAAATTTCATTACGAATTTATCAAAAATGATGGAATGAATTAAGAAATCAGCAACGAATAGTATAAATATAACGTCGGATTAGTCCGTCGCTAACAAGTGGTGACGGATATCATTCGTTGCTAAAACGTTGCTAAACTTGTGACGGAACTCATTTTTCGTCACTAAGAGATTATTAACGAGCAAAATAGTAACAGTCAAAAATCTGTTGCTAATCCGTCGCTAATACTATTTAGCGACGAAATATCATAGATTAGCGACGGATTTTGTCCGTCGGTAAACGCTGATTTTTTTGTAGTGAATCATGGCCAGTTTGGTTAATTTTAACAAGAACATGTAATAAGTTGATATATGACTTCAAGAACAAGATTCCTCTAAAAAGTTAAAAAAAAAAGTGTTAACCTAGACAATAGATAGAAACATAAACACTTCAAGGAATAAAGTTATTCCATCACTATTCAAAACATAGATCTAGAATGGTCTACTTCATATTACGAAATGAGAGTGAGGGATAGTTGCTAAAAAAAAACAACCTGGAGAACAATTAAAACAAAATAAGTATACTGGTAAAAGAGAAATATAAATTGGTGAGATTTAAAATTCAGAACTTTGTCAGCAAGAAATATAAAATCTAATTGAAATAAAATCAGCGCATATACTACGTTTCAGTCACTCTAACTCTTATATTTTGAGAGATTAGAGCTAAGCACTTTGACTCTATTCACTGCCACTTTCATAGTATGCCTCTTCATTCTCATTTTCATCATCTGATTCTGATTCTGGTACATCATGAAATTCTATCTCATCATCTAAATCATCATTCTCATCTCTTAAGTTTATGAATTCTCCATTTGGATCATTTCGGACAATAGTTTCATTGTCGTACACCACATCAAATCTTAAACCATCTCCGTCACATTGGAATGGCTCTGCATCATCTACTAGAGGAGATGATAAGTATGACAGAGGCATAACCACAATACCCCTAGCTTTTGTTTTGCACACAGCCCACCAATCACTCTTATCATGTCGTAAGCTAGGATAAGAAGCATAATACACTTGAGCTGTTTGCATTGCCAAAACAAATGGTTCACACTTCTTCAATTTCCTTTTATGGTTGATATCCACAAGTTTATATTGCGGGTGGATCTTCATTCCTGCATTTGGTGTGGGGTCAAACCATTCACATTTAAATAAAACAGTTCTTTTGATCGGTGTACTGCCCTTTTACTCCAATTCAAGAATTTCAGTAAGCACACCATAGTAGTCATTGTCATCTGCACTGTAATTGGTTCCTTTTATGCAAACGCCACTGTTATTAGATGCTCTAGAAAAACTGCAACTTTTAGTGTGAAATTTAAAGTCGTTGACATTATAACCAGTGTATGGTTTCGCTGATCGACATGGACCTTCTGCAAGCGCCTTGATGAACTGATTATCTATGTGGACTCGAGCCTATTAAATTAAAAAAAATTAGAGTTTCTTATAAGTGAACTAAGTACAGATGGAAATATATTGTACAAGTGCTCACATATCTTGTGAACCATGATGCAAAATCTTCATCAAGTTTCTTGTCCACTTCCTGCTCCGTAATTCGTGGAAAATTTTGATGAAGGGAGTCAATAAATTTCCTTTGGATCACATATAAGAAAAAGAATATGTAAGTGTTTTGATAATTATAATGTATAAATGAAAACAAAAGCTTGAAATCTTACTCCACATATGGCTGCACTTCTCTGCAATTTAGTAAAATATAAATATGAGCTGCTTTAAGTTCTTCTTCGGTTAGATATCTCCTATTTAGTTCCCCAAATCCTCGACCTGGATAGGTGAATATAGAAAGATTACCATTGTATCCATCTTGTTCGCCTATACCACCATCGTCATTTCGTGGCACTTTTCTATGCCTTGTGTAAACATGAGGCTCGAAGTAGTGTGAACAAAAGGATGAAGCTTCCTCAACTCTATACGCATTGCATATGCATCCTTCAACATGAGCCTTATTTCGAATATTATATTTATATTTTCGAAGATTTCTGAAAATAGTACAAAAGCTCAAGGCATTAGTCATTCATATGATGAAAATGAAGTACTTAAATGACCAAGTTTATTTTAGTGGTTAGGGGCAGGCGAAAGGAATTACATATTGAGTTCAATGTACTATGAAATAGATGCTTTACCATTTATATACTTAGGAGTTCCTTTGTCTACTAAAAGGATGACAAAAGAATTTAGAACAAGGAAAGACTATGAATCAATTTGGTCCATACATACTATATAAGATATTGGAGACTAGCAAATCACATGGAGGTGCCCGATATGCTTTTTGGATGATAAGAAAGATGTGTCATATGTTGAAATTCTGGCAGATTATCATTTTAAATACACAAATAAAACATGGGGGAGGGAGGGGGAGACAAAATATCATACACTTATAAAACTTTAAGAGGTGTTGCAGCATATGTTCCTTAGAAAAATCTCATATGTCATAATACATGTTGTGAAGACTGGCCTATGCATCTATTTAAGAAGTAGCATGAGGTTATTTGAGTTTTTAAGTCCTATTTAATTTGAGTTATGACTTTCTATTGGAGATACTGATTAGGGATTGGCATAAGGATTGTAAGGTTATTTAAGTGTTGTCTAAGAAGGGAAGGTTCCTGGTTGGCTACTCTCTAAGCTTTGTATTGTCGCTTAGTGATTAACAAAATCAGTTTAATTGCCCAAAAAATGAAGTACTTGAATATATAAATGAAATCTTACCTCTCAAATGGATACATCCATTGATATTGTACCGGACCAGCTAGCATTGCTTCATAAGCGAGATGCACAGGGAGATGCTCCATTGAATCAAAGAAGCTAGGAGGGAATACATGCTCTAATTTACAAAGTATTTCAGGTATTTCTTGTTGAAGTCTTACCATATCCTCTTCACGTATTACTGTAGAAGTGACATCCCTAAAGAAAAGACTCATCTCAGTAAGTGCTTCCCACACCTTTTTTGGTAATAGCTCACGGAATGCAATAGGAACCAATCTTTGCATGAATACATGACAATCGTGACTTTTCATACCAAATAACTTGTGTTTTTTCATGTCCACACACCTTCCCATATTTGAGACATATCCATCAGGAAACTTTAGATTTTTCACCCATTCACACAATAATTTTTTTGACTCTTCTTTTAGTGTGTAAATAGCTTTCGGGTATTTTCCATCAACAACATGTAATTTAGGTCGTCGACAGAACTCTTTCAAGTCGTTATCTTTTGTTTTACCATCTACATCCAGCACTGTGTTGAACACATTCTCGAAGAAGTTCTTCTCAATGTGCATCACATCTAGATTATGCCGAATGAGATTGGTACTCCAATATGGCAAATCCCAGAATATGCTTCTCTTCTTCCAACCAGAAAACTTATTAATCCGACGATTAATAATATCAGCCCCAAGTTCTGTTACCTTTTTAAGTCCCAATTCGTCTATCTCTTTTAAGACATCTTCACCTGATCGTAATAGGGGAGGCTGCATGGTTACTACTCTATTCTTTCTAAATGAGCTCTTATCCTTTCTATAGGGATGATTCAGTGGCAGAAACTTACGATGGTTGTCAAACCAAGAATGCTTACCACCTTTTGTCAAAGTAAAAGCATCAGAATTCTCCTTACAATATGGACATGCTAGCCTGCCCGCAGTACTCCACCCAGACAACATTGAATATGCAGGAAAGTCACTGATTGTCCACATCAAAGCAGCTCGCATTTTGAAATTTTTCTTCTTAGAGATATCGTATATGTTGACACATATATTCCATAAATTCTTCAATTCAGCAATCAAAGGCTGCAAGAAAACATCTAGTTGCTGCTTAGGATTCTTTGGCCCAGGAACTATAACTGACAAAAATAAATAGGGATCTTTCATACACATCCAAGGAGGCAAGTTGTATGGTGTCACAATTACTGGCCAAGATGAATATTGTTTTCCCGTTTGTCCAAATGGTTGAAACCCATCTATTGATAGCCCCAATCTAACATTACGACTTTCCTCTGAAAAAGATGGATGCTTCTTATCAAAGTGCTTCCAGGCAGGTGCATCTGAACAGTGACGCATTACACCTTCCTCAACTTCATGTTCAGCATGCCATCGCATGTGCAAAGCAGTTGCTTTGGAAGTATACAGTCGTTGCAGCCGCGGAGTAAGAGGAAAGTAATACATCTGCTTAAATGGTACAAGTTTTTTCTTTGAAAGAGATCTTTGACTTGTAGGCTTGTACCTGGGATGACTACAAAACTTGCAATTTACAAGCTCACTATCCTCTCCCCAGTAAATCATGCAGGCATTGACACAAGTATGAATTTTTTCAACTGGCATGTTCATTCCCCTCATTAACTTTTTAGTTTCATAGAAATTTTTTGGCATCACATTATCAGGCGGAAGCATCTCATTTACATATTGACAAATGTCATCAAAACATCTATCAGAGAGGTGGTGTTCAGTCTTGATGTGCAACAAACGAGAAACAGCTGATAATTTTGAGTGTGTTTCACAACCAGGCCACACTTCTTGATTTGCAGATTTAAGCATATCATAAAAACTTTGTGCATCAGGATTAGGTAATTCTTCCATATCATCTGGAACAAATGCGGGACCAGCAACCTCATGAACCATTCTATGATATGATGTAGTAGGTGTAGGATCATCAAATGCACCAACATTCATAGTATGATCCCATGGTATCCTTTCATCTTGATCTATGCTTCTTGCAACTTCATTTTCTCCATCCAAGTACCATACATGATATCCCGGTACAAAACCTTCTTTTAATAAATGCCCATGGACAGTATGAACATTTTCAAAGCTTCTATTTTGACATTTCTTTCGGTTACATGGGCACCTTAGTCTCTCACCATCCCTCCCTTCTGGATGACTCATAGCAAACTCAATAAAATGTTGTACACCCCTTACGAATTCAGGATCTTATAGACCTTTGGTTAATCTTTTGTACATCCATTGACGATTTGAACTCATTTTACTTATTGACCTTCTATTCTGATAATGTGAGAAGGGTAAATAATGAAACAAAAGAGGATTCAAAAACACAAGTCTATATATTCACTATATGAATGCTATATATTAAATGAGCAAATAGAGCACATCAGAAGTTCTATAATTGACTGATTGAATCAAACAAAAAGGAGAAACTAAGCTTGATAAAGAATACTTACCACTTAGCGAAAAGGATTGTGAAACTGAGAATCCAAGAGCAACAGATGAATTGTGAGTGAGTGTAGTCGGAGACAATCTGTGAAATGGGATTAAAATGAAAAGGATTTAGAAAAAGTAATGCTGAACATGGGCAGAAATTAGAGAAAAAACTGAATAGTGGCTCAAGTCTTCGTATTTTAGGGAGGTGGGGAGTTTAGCGGGAAAAGTTTTTGCTTTTTTTTCTCTTCTTTTCAACTTTTCTTTTTTTTCTTTCAAATATAATAAATTCTTCCAATTTTTATTTGAAGTATTTGTACAATTCTTTTAAGATACTTTTTTATTCACCACAAATAAAGTCAAAAACAAAATCCAATCTTTAAAGTGATGAAATTAAAACACTCGAAATGTAATAATACGCAGGAATTCGAACAAGAACTGAAATCTACAACAAGCTAAGTACCTCTCAACAAGAACAAGCAACACATGCAATGATTAATTGAACAAAAGAGGGGTGAATGGGGATGAAGACATACCCAGAAACACGATGTGGGTCTTTTTGTAGATCTGAGATGCAGTCCATGAGTTGTGATACTCTTGAAAGATTAAAGACCCGATTTGCTCTATGAAATACTCCATATATGAAATCACTGCTGGGGATTAGAGCTTGAGATGAAAACTTAGGCGATTTGTAGCTGAATATGTTCCACTCTTGCGAGGAGATCTATCATTGATATGTAGTGGAACTTAGAAAATAGATGAGTAAGAAGATTACCCAGTTCGATCTAGCTAAGCATAGGGAATTCTTGATGAATTTTTTTCTTCTTCAGTCAGCTTAGTGAAGAACCAAGTGAGCTGATTGTTGTTCTTGTCTATTCCGCCTGCGATTTTGTTGCTCTATTTGGACATCAATTTTTATTTTCTTTTTTTTTCTTTCTATATTACTTAATAATAAAATTCCCTCTATTAAGTTATAATTTATGAAGTGGGGGTTTTTTAAAAAAAAAATATAAGGGTGAAAACTTAGATAAAAAATATGCCTGCGTTTTTGTTGCTCTTTTTGGACATCAATTTTTGTTTTCTCTTTTTCTTTCTATATTATTTATTAAAATTCCCTCTACTAGGTTATAATATATGTTAAGTGGGTTTTTTTTTAAAAAAAAAAATAAGGGTGAAATCTTAGATAAAAAATATTTCGTACTTTTTTTTATCCTAATTTATTTGATATAGTTAATTTAATTGGACACCAATGAGTGAGATCCAATGTGGATACAATGTTGATAATGTTGATATATATATCAACTACTTTAATTAACTTTCCAATAAAATATATTTGTGTATCCATGAATTGTAGATATTTTGTGTTGCCTAAATGAGTCATTTCTAATAGTTCGATAACATATTGGAGTTTTTCTCTAAATACAAATTAGGTCTAATAAAGATTTATAGCTATTTTTTTTAAAGTTCATACATGATATTAAATTAATATTAATAGTAATACACATATTTCAATAGACACGTTCATCACAATTGTAGACTTAAATCAAAAGAAAGAGGCCTCTACTACTTCTTCGTACAACCCGAACATACCATCCTATTAGACCAGAAATGACTTTCCGGAGCTAACCGCACTGACGAAATTCTAATCCGAGCACCTTTACAATTTTTTTTAACAAAGTCAAATTTTGGCTAAAATTTGAAAGATAAAAACGTCTAACGGCACAAACAGAAAACGAAAGCCTCAAAAGTCAAACCAACCATCCTATTAGACAAAAAATGACCTTCCCGAGCTAACCGCATTGATAAAATTTTCATTCGAGCATGTTTACCAAAACTGTTGACCGAAGTCAAATTTTGGCCAAAACATAAAACAGTTACACCAAACGGCACAAACTGAAAATGAAAGCCTCAAAACCCGAACCAATAATCAAATTAGACCCAAAATGAAATTTCAAAGCTACGCGCCAAAAGTTAAAAGTTAAAAGGCATACCGGCACAAACTGAAAAACAAAAACCAAACATCCTATTAGACAAAAAAATGACCTTTCGGACACAACTACGCTGATGGAATTCTCATTTGACCACGTTATCAAATATATTTACGGAAGTTAAATTTTTGCCAAAACTTAAAAGTTAAAACGTCTAACAACACAAACTGAAAAAAAATCCTCAAAACCCGAACCAACCATCCTACTAGACCAAAAATGACCTTCCAAAGCTAACTGCGCTGATGGAATTTTAATCTTAGCACATTTACCAAAAATATTGACCAAATCTAAATTTTGGCAAAAACTTAAAAGATAAAACGCCTAACAGCACAAACTGAAAAAGAAAAAGCCTCAAAACCTGAACCAACTAGCCTATTGGATAAAAAATGATCTTTCAAAGCTAACCGCACTGACGAAATTATCATCTGAGCATGTTTACGAAAGATGTTAAGCAAAGTCAAATTTTGGCCAAAAGTTAAAAGTTAAAACGCTTAACGACACAAACTGAAAATGAAAACCTCGAAACCGGAACAAACCATCCTATTAGACAAAAAATGACATTCCGGACACAACTACACTGATGGAATTCCCAATTGACCACGTTTACCAAATATATTGACCAAATCTAAATTTTGGCCAAAACTTAAAAGTTAAAACAAACACCTAACTGTACAAACTGAAAATAATAGCCTCAAAACCCGAACCAACAATCCTATTAGACCAAAAACGAAATTTCAAAGCCAACCGCACTGACAAATTTCTCATTTGAGCACCTTTGCCAAAATTTTGACCAAAGTCAAATTTTGGCCAAAAGTTAAAAGTTAAAACACCTATCGGAACAAACTGAAAACGAAACCCTCAAAACCAAACGAACTATCCTATTAGAAAAAAAATAATTTTCCAGATACAACTATGCTGAAAGAATTCTCATCTGATGTTTACCAAATATATTGACCGAAGTTAAATTTTTGCCAAAAACTTAAAAGTTAAAACGCCTAATGGCACAAACTGAAAATGAAAGCCTCAAAA